TAGTTCTGCTTTTTTTGGGGTTTTTTTTTCTCAAGCTACAGGTATTTGCTTATGCCTGTTATGACAATGTTCCTCAGCAGAGAGGGTAATAAGAAACAGTATTGCTGAGTTTTGAAAATGTATGACTCACTTACCAACCTCTAGGAGGTTATCATTGGCGCTTGCTGGGGCTGGATATATATATTTGAGATGACCTCCTGTAATGTACTTTGTACTTCCAAGCTTCACTTGGGAAGGAGGTTGGGTTGTGTTGGGAGAGAGTGTTACTGAATGAGTGGCCTGAGTACTGGGCCTGAAAGGCTTGCACTGCTTTGATGAAGGGTATATCCAGGAGGAGTGAAGCTGGAGCCTTATTGGATCACCATTGCAGCTTCACTGCTGAAGAATGTCCTGGAGAGCTGTGTATAAGTTGCTGTATTTGGACTTTACAGGATGTCTGGTTGGCCAACTGTAAAGGTATTGTGCTGCCTGAGCTACTCAACAATTTGAAGGTGTATTGACTGATGCTATAGTGGAGTGACTAGAGTTGTATTTTTAACATTTTTAGGGTATACTGCACACTAAACCCTCTCTCCTTAAGTCTTATATGGTCTTATAATAAACTCTTTCCGCATACTAACTTGACTGGTGCCTAGTTTCTTATTCCTCACACACAGGCAAAGATTCCACCCTCAGGTTTGAAATACTAGCCCACTAAGCTAAGCCTATGGGTCCCCATCCACCTCCCAGGAGTATGGGGTCGCTATAACTATTTAAAACCTTTCAGAGGAACATACAGTAAATATAGATTTAATGTATGATGTAGGCTACCCATATCAGTGAGACCAGGCACCCTGTTTTTCTAAGTATCTCCTGGAATGTTTTGCAAATACCTATTTTTTTGCCAGTAGACAGTAGATAGTCATGTCCTTTGATACTCAACACTCTTGCTGTTGCTGTAATTGCATAGATGCTGGCATTGTTGATAGCTGACTTAATGAATTGTCACACCTACGAATGTTAGGCTGACAGCACATTGCTCTTTCTGCAGGAACTTAGGCTGCGTTTCACTTGTTTATTTTCTAAAAAGCAACCCCCGGTCAGGAGGAGATCCTGCTGCCCCCTGCATGCCTATTTCTTTTTTTTTTAATTATTATTATTATTTTTTTTTGCTTAACACCAGTTTTCATTGGGACTAATGCACTGTGACCACAAATCAGGCAGTTTGGCTCATGCATGTGGTGCTATTGACTTGAATGGGCAATAATGACAGGCAATACGAAGCATCATGACTGCAGCATGTGAACAGCCCCCTCTAGCTATATAGTATGCTTTAGGTGGGCAAAACCATGGCTCAACCAGCTGTTTTTACCACCCCCTACCCCATCACACCTCCTCAAAATGGGAGGGCCAATAAGAGTTTGTTTTTAAGATTTACTGCTTGTTAGGAATATATAAATAGTTGAATGTCCATGTAAAGAGGTAACGCTAAATTCAGTTAGTGAACTGTCATGCCTACAGCCCTGCATTCACAGTATGTCTTTGGTCTAATGGAGTCATTCAACCAAGAAGACTTAGGATATTTTGCGATGAAAAGGCATTGTTGCATCAGACAGTGTTGGGAGAAGGTGAGTATTTCATCCTAAGCTGCTTTTTTACTTTAAATACTATCTGGGAAACATTTAAAACAATAGTCCCAAGTTGAGCTTTAACAATATATAACTTTCACCTTGTTGATTAGAAGTGGTATTAATTGCAAAGTTAAAGCAGTATTAAACCCCAAAGCAAAAATATAATAAATTGCAGCTCATCAATTCTTAGATGTGGTAGCTACAAAAGTTTTCTTTTTTTCTTTTATTTTCACCATGTGATCTAGCCTGTGAGTCTATTGTTTTTCGACTTACTTTACCAAACTAAGCTATCTAGACAAAGTAACAGTTAGAAGCTTGAGACAACCATTCAACACTGACAAGAGTGCTTACAATGGTCAGCTGTTAATTGTTTATGTAAAACCTTTTTCCCAAAAGGAAAAAAACTGCTTTCCATTACATAGCATAACGTAAAAAGTGTTAGCAATTTCAAGTCAATCTACATTTTCTACTCTCTCCCCAGCCTGACATGCTGCTGTCCAAAGATGTTTGCTTGATTACTTAAACTGGTTGTAAAGGCTCAAGAGTTTTTTTCCCTCAATCACAGCCAGTCAGCCAATGAGGAGAGAGGTTGCAGGGCCAAGTCGCTGCTCTGTGTGTGAATGGACACGGAGCAGTGGGTGCCCCCATAGCAGATTGCTTGCTGTGGGGTCACCCAACAGGAGGGAGGAGCCAGGAGAGCCTGCTGGGGAACCAAGAAGAGGAGGAGCCAGGCTGCTCTGTGCAAAACCATTACACACAGCACATAAGTATAGAATGCATTCTGCATTCACTTTAATCCAGAATGCAGACACTGACAAGGAGTGTGTTATTGGCTGGATCGCCACCTTTTTAACATGGAAATCACCTTTAAACGCAGAGGCTGGCCAAACAATCTGTAACTGCTGAGAAGAACAACCACTATTGGTTTCTTCATAAACATGGGAACTCCCAGATCAACACACTTCTTTAAAAGTATACATCTTCAATAACCAATAATGTTTCTATTTATTTGCAGTTGTTTTAAAGTTTTGCTATGATTATCAAATGTATAAACCATCACCTGCAGATTTTTTTTCTCTTCTATTTCTATATGAGTCAAATATACTGCATACAAGCTTATCTCAGCTAGATATGAGTCAACCTCTAAGAACAGCTTCAACATCATTTCCACTGAATTGTTTCTTAGGTGTATTGTGGTGCATACTGCAGTGTGCTGAGTGTTTTGGGGTGCATGCTGCAGTGTGCTGAGTGTCTTGGGGTGCATGCTGCTGTGTGCTGATATGTACTAGGGTGCATTCTGCAGTGTGCTGGGGTGCATGCTGCAGTGTGCTGAGTATATATGGGGTGCATATTATGGTGTGGTAAATGTATTATGGTACATGCTGTAGTTTACTAAGTGTATTGTTGTGTATTCAGTGATGTGTTGAGTATATTGGGGGAGCATGCTACAGTCTGCTGTGTGCATTGAATTGTATACTGAAAAGTACTGGTTGTATTAGGGTGCAGGTTGTACTGTGATGCACGCAGTGGTATGTTGAGTTTACTGGGGTGCATACTGCGGTGTTTTAAGTGTACTAGGGTTCATGACATGTATGTATTGACGTGCAAGGTGTGCTCATTTTGTTTCATCCTTACGGACATACAGCATCTCACAGAAGTGAGTACACCCTCACATTTTTGTAAATATTTTATTCTATCTTTTCATGTGACAATACTGAAGAAATGACACTTTGCTACAATGTAAAGTAGTGAGTGTACAGCTTGTATAACAGTGTAAATTTGCTGTCCCCTCAAAATAACGCACAGCCATTAATGTCTAAGCAGGGCGAACTGACAACTCATGAGGCCCCCGGGCAATAAAGGATCATGGGGCCCCTGTGTCCTTGCCCAAACTCAAGCCTATGAGAAAAGTACCAGGTGCATCTCATGGGGCCCCTACTGACACCGGGCCCTCAGGCAGTGCCCGAGTTTCCAAATGGTCAGTCCGCCCCTGTGTCTAAGCCACTGGCAACAAAAGTGAGTACAGCCCTAAGTGTAAATTTACAAATTGACCCAATTAGCCATTTTCCCTCCTTGTGTCTCATTAGTGTTACAATGTCTCTAGTGTGAATGGGGAGAAGGTGTGTTAAATTTGGTGTTATTGATCTCACTCTCTCATACTGGTCACTGGAAGTTCAACATGTCACCTCATGGCAAAGAACTCTCTGAGGATCTGAAAAAAAAATGGTCTAGGCTATAAAATGATTGCCAAGACCCTGAAACTGAGCTGCAGCACGGTGCTCAAGACCATACAGTGGTTTAACAAGACAGGTTCCACTCAGAACAGGCCTCGCCATGGTCGACCAAAGAAGTTGAGTGCACGTGCTCAGCGTCATATCCAGAGGTTGTCTTTGGGAAATAGACGTATGAGTGCTGCCAGCATTGCTGCAGAGGTAGAAGGGGTGGGGGGGTCAGTCTATCAGTGCTCAGACCATACATATAGTTACACAGTTACATAGTCTGGCTGAAAAAAGACAAAAGTCCATCCAGTTCAACCATAGAAAAAAAAAAGTTATAATCCTATACCGACAGTTGATCCAGAGGAAGGCAAAAAAAAAAAACCCAGCAAAGCACAATCCAATTTGCTCCTGCTGGGAAAAAAAATCCTTCCTGATCCCCCAAGAGGCAATCGGATATTCCCTGGATCAACTTTACCTATAAATGTTATTATCCAGTTATATTCTGTGTTGGCTGTACATTCACTACTTTACATTGTAGCAAAGTGTCATTTCTTCAGTGTTGTCATATGAAAAAATATAATAAAATATTTACAAAAATGTGAGAGGTGTACTCACTTCTGTGAGATACTGGGGAAAGTCAGGGGGAGTTTCAGAGCAGGTTATTTGCAAATCTATCAGCATTGTAAAATGCAAGTTTGTCTGATTAGATTTGAAAGGGTCTTAAATATTATTGGGGTCCTTATTTATGAGAAATAGCCTTTTTAAAGAGGTGGAGTCTTTACCTATGCAAGAAAGGTAAAAAATGCAATTTTCCCTTAAACGAAAAAGAAAGAAAGAAAGAAGTAATGGATTTAAGGGGTCTTAAATATTCATGGTGCAATTGTTTATAATGAAGAGAATTTGAAACGGGTATCGTGTCCACCTTTGTACAAGGATGTTAAAAATTGCAGTTTTTCCATAAACAAGACTTGGAGTATCTTTAACTTTCTAATTAAAATCTATGCATGCAGCTGTTCTAGGCCAAGACACATTGTTTGTAACATATAAGATCAAAGATGCTCATAAAACCAACCAATCAGATTTCTCGACACTTTGGTCACTGGGGAAATTATATTAGGGTAGGGCTTAAAATTTCAAGTCCTGAGCTACTAGCCAGGCCTTAGATTTACTCGCCTCCAACAAACACACACAAACAGAGACACCTATACACACAAACAGATATGTACATACACACACACACAGAAACATGTACGCACACGCTCAGAGACACATGTACACACACACACACAGATACATGTATACACACACACAGGCATGTACAGACACGCAGATACATGTACATACACAGAAATACACACGCACAGACACATGTACAGACACACAGACACATGTACATACATACACAGACACATGTACGTACATATACACACACACATGTACATACACACACAGACACATGTACACACACACATACATGTACATACATGCAGACACATGTACAGGTACACACATGTACATACACACAGACACATACAATTGTACATGCATACACAGACACACACAAACACGTACACACACACACACACACACACCCCATAAAAAGTTGCAGTACTTCGTTGTTCACTCACAGATCCAGGTACTGCACTCTAGGGGGAGGCAGAGAGCACAATACACACTCCTTGCTTTGCTTTCACTGTGCTCAGCTAGTGAGCAGTCTGATGGCTCCCAGTGCCAATGACAGATCCGGCCTGAGCTCCAAGCCTGCTCAGCAAGATGGCCCTGGGGGACACACTCGCCCCCACCATAATTTCCACTCACCATTGGCGAGCAGGCGAGTGGAAATTTCAAGCCCTGGGGTAGGGTATTTTGGCTGTATCATCAGAGCAAGATTTGGTACCTTGAAGGCTTCCGATCATTGTATTATTTGCAAAACACTCTGTGGACTCTGTTCTGTGCTGGGAACCAATAAATGCAAGCCTCTCTGGAGAAGTGCTGTGGGATAAATTAATTTCTTGAATAGAGGAGTTTTGCATTTGTAACAGGGGAAATTAATCCTATCTGTGACTGCTGTAATCTGCTGACTGGCATCTCCTCTGAAATCTCACCCTTGCACTGGACACACACAAGGCAGTGAGGGATTTCAGCCCCTCCCTTCTCCTCTCAGACTGTAATAGAGAGCCAATCAGAGAGAGCCATTAAAGAAGCCAATGACAGGGACTTTCTCAAGCAGGAGGTGCAGCTGCAAAGCATTGTGGAATATGCAGTCTTGAACAGAAATGGCCTGATAAGGCTTATATAGAAATAGAACTACAAAGGCCATCATGTTTAGTGAGAGCAGAGTGAAGGACTCCATCTTGTCTTTCCTGAGGGGAGGCAGTCTGCATGTGGCAAGGTAACAGTCTGGACCTAGCAGAGAAGTGCTTAGGGTCAGTTCACAGCATGCTGAGTTATCTGCATCAGTCAGGGGAACATCCAAACTGAGAGATGTGGACCTACAATACAGTGCCTACACCGACAGAGTGAAGCGCTCATCCTGAGGTGACCAGAGGAGCCAGTCATTTCCAGGGAGATCGTTTGGGCCTTAGTCACAGGATCTGGTGAGAGGGATTTTTCCCACTGGCAGATGACAGGAACACTACACACATACAGGGACATTATACTTTGCCCATATTCACCAGGCACTGGGTTGTGTAGATGGCCCTGCTAAACAGACACAGTATTTGCTTTGCTATACAAATACTGCCATGGGATTACAATTATACTTTACCATAGAAGTTTATGCGCACCAACGAAAGTGGCTAGCTGAAGATCCCAAGATTCATCCTGTTACCAAGAGACTGAAGTTACTGGTGCAGTATGGGCACGCACATGCGTATTCAGGCCTCTATATTGCATGGTGTGTGAGGGAATAGCTTTACCTTGGAAAGTAGCTATTAAGCATCATTTGGGTACAGTGTTTGCCTATTGGGCTTGTGGTGTAGAAGGGAGAAGTCTGACACAACAGAGAGTCATTCTTCTGCTCTCCTCCTGCTTAGACATCAAAGAGCTGAATTTATGTAGAGGAGTTAAACCCACTTTGAGGTTGCCATTTAAGTGTTTGCTTCTGCTCTTGGGGTTATTCACGGTTGGAATCCCCTGAAAGCAGCCTGAGTGTAAAAGTGAGCTATATTGCTTTTGGTCACAGTATTTGCTGTTCTCTTGATTCACCTAACAAATACCTGTTGTTAATGTTTATTACTTCCCATAGAGGTCTTACAGTAAAGCTGATCTCTGTGTTTTATTATAAAGTGTGTGCTTTTCATTGATCCTTGCACTTACAATATTGCCAGGTGTGTCAGTTGGGGACAGTTCTTGGGGTTGAGAGGCAGAGTGGTGGAGTGAACAAACTTAAGCAGCCCCTTCAGGGGTATCGCTACACATTTTGGCAATTGCTGGAGTCCATTTACTCATTCTCAACCTCTCCTTTTTATCAAATCTAACTAGATTAATCTCATATCCAGTTCTCACACCTGTATACCTTTATAGGACAAAACAAGTTTTCCATTTCTGCTATGGACCTGCTTATTGGAAAAACCTTTGTCATTACTAAGTATTAAATAATTACAAAAATATATTTTTAAGCTATTGTCTTCCAAAAGGATTTTAATTTCTAGGAAATCCTTAGGCAAAAAACAAAACAAAATTAAAAAAAAAACCTCCCCTGCTTAAAATGGCCCTAAAGATTCTAGTACGAAGCTATCAAAGTTAGTTAAGTAGCTCTCCCCTCTAGTTAGCTTCTAGGCTAAATTTAGTTTTTGGCTTTCAGTGTAGTCAGTGGAGCAGTGATTTCCCAAGCTGGATGTTTGATGTTTCTCACCTGCTTCTGGAAGAAGCTTCCAGATTATAGGGAAGAAAAAGTCAAATGACCAATATGAATATTTATCATACCCCAGCCAATCCCTGTAAGGAGGCATCCAGAAGGTGGCTGGAATGTGAACAAATCTTAGAGCTGTTGTCCCTGGAGGCAGCATTACAGAGTCAAGTCTTGGCTTCAGCTGAAGCTGGGTTGAGGGCCTGGGGAAGATTTAAAAAGATTTTGGCTAATGTCTAGGCCTCAGCAGGAGTTGAGTTGAGGGCCTGGGGAAGACTGTTAAAGGATTTTAGTGCTGGAAGGCACTGTCTGAAGTTCTGGTCTGGACAATGGTCTTTTGTCCCCCTCACAGTGGATCTCCTGGTTTGGGACTTTCATGTGTGACTTCAGTTATGAGGGGCGGGCGCAGTTGTAAAGCATATTGTGTTTGGTATCTATTTACTCGGCATAACATTATCTTTTATATTTTACCAAACAATTGGCCAATATATTGTGTTTTTGTGCATTAAAAGTAAAAAATGTAATTTTACCAAAACATTTGCTTTTGAAAAATCGCTACAAAAGTACTGTGTGACATAAAAATTTGCACCTCCTACTATTTTATTCTCTAGGGCATCTGCTTTAAAAAAATATATATAATATTTGGGGGGTTCAAAGTAATTTTCTAGCAAAAAATACAGATTTTTTTCATGTGAACAAAGAGTGTTAGAAAAGGCTTGGTTTTCAAGTGGTTAGAATAGTAGGTGATGTGTGGCATCAGCTTCTAATGTGGGGCATGAAATGCCACCCCCCCAAATTACCCCTTTTTGGAAAGTAGATACTCCAAACTATTTGTTAAAAGGTATGTTGAGTCAATAGAATTCATTTTTTACAAGTTTTTGAAAAATGAAAATTTTTTTTTTACACAAACTTGTCATCGAAATTATATATTGCTCTCACATGCCATGGGTATATGTGGAATTACACCCCAAAATACATATGGGGATACCACATGTGAGAAACTTCTTTGTCAGTCTAGTCGCATACAGGACCCCAAAATCCAATAAGCACCTTCAGGCTTTTAAAGGGCTTTATTTTGCTAATTTCACTTCCTGACTACTAGAGATGAGCGAATTATTCAAAAATTCGATTCGGCTGATTCGGCGAATTCGTGGAATAAATTCGATTCGAGTCGAATATATTCGCTGCGAATTTAACTTATAAAAAGGGTGTTTCTAGGCTTCAGAGAGCCTTTATATTAGTGCAGAACACTGTACCTTTAATTTAAATGTCCTTGGAGTCTGCTGGGGAAGAGAAATAATACTGTCAGTCAGTATGACATGCAGATGAGTGCCGTCGATCTTAGAATCACCGCACACTTCACTCATTTGGGCAGTCACGGGGCCAAAACCAGAGTGTGGAGCCACAGTGTGGCGGTGGAGGCAGCAGCAATGGGAGGCCATACAGCACCCTATGAAAAAATGGAACCCACCAGCAGTGTGAGGAGACCTGAAAGTGGCACATGGCAGAGTGTGGCGATGGAGACAGCAGCAATGGGAGGCCGTACAGGGACCCATGACACACTCTGGACCTGGCAGCAGCATGAGGAGGCGGTACAGGGGCCCATGACAGATTACGGGCCTGGCAGCAGCATGAGGAGTCGGTACGGGGGCCCATGGCAGATTACGGGCCTGGTAGCAGCAATGGGAGGCCCGTAATCTGCCAGCACCCTATGACAAAATGGAACCCACCAGCAGTGTGAGGAGACCTGAAAGTGGCACATGGCAGAGTGTGGCGATGGAGACAGCAGCAATGGGAGGCCGTACAGGGACCCATGACACACTCTGGACCTGGCAGCAGCATGAAGAGGCGGTACAGGGGCCCATGACAGATTACGGGCCTGGCAGCAGCATGAGGAGTCGGTACGGGGGCCCATGGCAGATTACGGGCCTGGCAGCAGCAATGGGAGGCCATACAGCACCCTATGACAAAATGGAACCCACCAGCAGTGTGAGGAGACCTGAAAGTGGCACATGGCAGAGTGTGGCGATGGAGACAGCAGCAATGGGGGCCGTACAGGGACCCATGACACACTCTGGACCTGACAGCAGCATGAGGAGGCGGTACAGGGGCCCATGACAGATTACGGGCCTGGCAGCAGCATGAGGAGTCGGTACGGGGGCCCATGGCAGATTACGGGCCTGGCAGCAGCAATGGGAGGCCCGTAATCTGCCAGCACCCTATGACAAAATGGAACCCACCAGCAGTGTGAGGAGACCTGAAAGTGGCACATGGCAGAGTGTGGCGATGGAGACAGCAGCAATGGGAGGCCGTACAGGGACCCATGACACACTCTGGACCTGGCAGCAGCATGAGGAGGCGGTACAGGGGCCCATGACAGATTACGGGCCTGGCAGCAGCATGAGGAGTCGGTACGGGGGCCCATGGCAGATTACGGGCCTGGCAGCAGCAATGGGAGGCCCGTAATCTGCCAGCACCCTATGACAAAATGGAACCCACCAGCAGTGTGAGGAGACCTGAAAGTGGCACATGGCAGAGTGTGGCGATGGAGACAGCAGCAATGGGAGGCCGTACAGGGACCCATGACACACTCTGGACCTGGCAGCAGCATGAGGAGGCGGTACAGGGGCCCATGACAGATTACGGGCCTGGCAGCAGCATGAGGAGTCGGTACGGGGGCCCATGGCAGATTACGGGCCTGGCAGCAGCAATGGGAGGCCCGTAATCTGCCAGCACCCTATGACAAAATGGAACCCACCAGCAGTGTGAGGAGACCTGAAAGTGGCACATGGCAGAGTGTGGCGATGGAGACAGCAGCAATGGTAGGCCGTACAGGGACCCATGACACACTCTGGACCTGGCAGCAGCATGAGGAGGCGGTACAGGGGCCCATGACAGATTACGGGCCTGGCAGCAGCATGAAGAGTCGGTACGGGGGCCCATGGCAGATTACGGGCCTGGCAGCAGCAATGGGAGGCCCGTAATCTGCCAGTACCCTAT